CTCCCAATTCTGTAGTCGCTCTCTTCATGTTATTGGTTGTTTACTAAGAAGAATCTTTTTAGTTGGAATCCATCCCATTTATTGGTTCTTGATTTTTTTTTTCTTGGAAACACAATACAAAATTTGCCTATTACATACCCAGAGGGTTGAACCAAGCTTCTTTTTGATAATTTGCATATTTCTTTCCTAGTGATACAGGAACAACGCCTCCAGAGAGTGGTATTTTTGGATTCATGATAAACTTCTCTGCATTTCTTGGTAAGTATACAATTATTATGAATAAGTTAAAAATTTACAATCTCGGGCTGGGGTTGTGGTTCAGAGGTAGAGCGTTTGCCTAGCATATGTGAGGCACTGGGTTTTCTCCTCAGCACCACATAAAAATAAAATAAAGATATTGTGTCCACCTACAACTAAAAAATAAATGTTTAAAAAAATGTTACAATTTTTGTATTTCTGGTGCATTACATTGCAGTGGGATTCATTATGCTATAATCATRAATGCACATAACAATTTGRCCAGTCTCWTTCCCCAATATCTTCCCTTTCYCTCCCCAATTTGTATATTTTTTTMAAAGTACAACCTTTGCAACTAGAATGTKGCCCTACATTGAGAAATTAAAACATGTAGAAATCCAAGATTATAACCTTGTTATAGAATTATTCTTCACTTTATTTAGCAGTTTGACACAGGGTTTGCTGTGGGTGGTTTTAAACCCCGAACTTCTGAGGTGGCTTTGAAATGCAATTTAGTTTTTAAAAACTGTGATGTATAGCCAAGATACTTCTGTAAGCCAACGCAGAAAAGACTGTTTCTCCAAGTGTGCTSATGTGAAAGGCAACTTACATGAAAACCATCTGGGTGCTGGTTAGAGTGCTGCTCCCTGACTGTACTACAGATGCACTCATTCAGAACCTTTTAGAATGGGCCCAAGAATATGTGATGTTAATGAGCACTCAGGGCTGGAGGTGTAGCTCAGTAGTAAAGCGCTTGCCAGCCATGCATGARGTCCTGGGTTTCATCCTCAGTACCCCCAGCCCTCCCCTCTAAAAAACACTGTAGGGGACTTGGATACTCACTAAAGTTTGAGAACCACTGACCTGTTAAAGAAATGAGAAAGGTGAAACAAGGAATAGTTTGTCTCCAACACAAGTATGATTTTTCTTTTCAGTTCCTCAAAACCACCTGAGATGCAATTGATGGGATACAATCCTGTTGTGAGTCAATTAATGTAATATCACAACTACTTTTTGATGTAAAACTCAGTGTACTATAGGGGGATCTGAGTATGTAGATGTAAGATGTAGAGATTTTTCTCTTAATCCTTTCATAATCCTCTACCCTGTGGAACAATCAGGTTGCCAAGGAACTATGGTTAACCAACACTTTCTGTCCCTCTCCATTGGTGCAGGTGAGAAGGGACAGAGGTACTGGAAACTCTGCTTGGTAACTGGGTATCTTTGGAATTTGTTCATGCCACTTGGTAGAGGGAGTATGTTTCGTCTTGTCACCCATTTGGGATCTTCTCCCAAGGAATTGGAAGTAAGCAAGGGGAAGTGGAAATGAGGGGTCTGTCAATCTCAATCTCAGTCCCTCTTACACCATCCCTTGCCAAGAGTCCAGACTTAGAAGACTGAAATTATTTTGAAACAGCAAGTGATAAATATGGCTTTTGCTTCTAGGCCATGCAGAAGCTGACATGAATATATTTATTTAAAATAGTCCATGAATATATACAATGATTTTTACCTTTATGTATAATTATAATACACAAATTTTTTAAAATGGTAGAGTATAGGAAGAGTGTTGGGGGAGAGAAAGGGGAGTTACTGGTGAATGAGATTGACCAAATCATGCTATGTGCTTGTATGAAGATGTCAGAATGAATCCCACTATTATGTATAATTACAATCAATAAAAATAAATTATGAAAAATTATTAATTTTTAGCCTGCTTTTTAAAGTATAGCAAAATATTATAATCATCATTATGTCAATACACGGCAAATCTACCTTATCCTTTTTKGGGGGATGGGGCGCAGATACCAGGGATTGAACTCAGGAGCACTCGACCACTGAGCCACATCCCCAGCTCTATTTTATATTTTATTTAGAGACAAGGCCTCACTGAGTTGCTTAGTTTTATTTATTTTTTTTCTTTTGCTAAAGCTGGCTTTGAACTCATGATCCTCCTGTCTTAGCCTCAGAGCCTCTAGGATTACAGGCATGCACCACTGTATCCAGTTACCTTATCCTTTTAACACATGACTGATATCTATCATGTGGATGTTTGGTATTTTAATTTATTCAGTCTGTCTCCTATTGGTAAACACTTAGGCTCTTTCTCGTATTTTGTAATTACAGTGTAGAAGTGAATGTCCTTTTAATCATATCTTTGTGTATTGAGGTGACTATTTCTGTAAGCTTGCTGAGTTAAAGGGAATACATATCTAAAATTATGTTAGCTATCTATTTATCCTGCAAATTCTCTCTTCTTCCTTTCCTTCCTTTTTTGTGGTTTTCTTTTTTTTTAAATTTGAGACAGTGTCTTGCTGATTTGCCAGAYTAGCCTCAATTTGTGTTCCTCCTGCCTCAGCCTGCAGAGTAGCTGGGATTATAGGTGTACACTATTGCACCCGGCCTCCAACGTTCACATTCTAGGCATCTCACACAAACCAGTTTCAATTAAAGAACTAATATAAAAAGCAAAAGTGCAAGAGAAGTTTAGTGTTTCCAAAATCTTGGGATGAAAAAACTTATCTGAGCATACACAAAGCACAGATGCTAAATAAGAGTTAACAGATTTGAGTAGGTAAAAAAATGAAAACTTCTAAACAATGAAAGGTATCCGAAATGAAGTTAAAAGACAAACAACAGATCAGAGGAAAATTTGTAATATTTATAGCAGATTTAGACTAGGGGACATAATGTGTAAAAAGCAACCACAAATTACAAATGAATAAACAAAACCAAGAGGAGAATGAGAAAAAAAATTAAAACATGCAATTCTCAGAAGACGAAATGAAAATGACTGGTAGATACAATGAAAATTGCTAAATCTCAGTAATAACTAGGAAGATGCCAATTAAACCAACTGGTTRCCATTTTTTATTCATTAGATTGACAATAATTAAAAAGGCGAGTGTATACAAAATTGCTCTCCAATTCTGCTGATGGGCATATAAATTGTTACTGTCTTAGAGCAATCTGGAAGTGCTTCTGAGCATTTTAATTGTGTGTGGGTTTTTTTTTTYCTTGAAACAGTAATAACTACTTCTAAGAACTGGCCTTTCAGAAATACCTGATAGAGTGCCCAAAGATTTATATCCAAAGATGTTTATTGAACACTGTTTATAACTGAAAAAAAACAGAGAAGCAATGTAGAAATCCATTTGTATGCTGTTTGAACCTAAAAAAAAAAAAAAGAAATCCATTTGTAAAAGAATAATGAAATAAATATGGTATCTCATACTATAAGATCCTTCATAAATGACGAGGTAGATTTGTTTTGTACTGACYTGGAAAAATCTCCAGGGTATATTGTTAAGTGAGAAGAGCAAGACAGAATAATACATATACTATAATGACTTTTATGTGAAAAAATAACAACCACAATGGGTTGTGTATGTTTCTATTTATTCCATCACACTGGAGAGAAACTAAAATGGGGTGCGGGAAGGGACAGGGATGGGCAAATAGGGAGGCATTGCAATCAGGACTTATTTTGAGGTGGGTACTGGGGATTGAACTGAGGGTCTCATGCATGCGAGGCAAGTACTCTAGCGCTTACCTACAGTTATAGCCGTAATCAGGACATTTTAACAAATGGTTAAAAACTGCTTCTAAGTTTTTCATTCAAAAAAAAAAAAGCATGAAAATTTCATCAAAGTGCCTTTCTTTTTCAGGTGCAGCCACGATGTACACRAGATATAAAATAGTAGAGAAGCAAAATCAAACCAGCTATTTCGGCACTCCTGTTTTTAACTTGGTGTCCTTAGTTCTTGGATTGGTGGGATGTATCGGAATGGGCATTGTAGCAAATTTTCAGGTATGGTCTGTGGCTTTCTTGGTACTGGGGACAATGTGTGAGGAGAGAAGCAGGAACCCAAGCAGCACGCTTGTGCCGGGAGAGCTGTGAAATGGTTGATGRGTTTCCAAAAATTGGATGAGATTAATTTTTAGGAATAAATCTTTGACATTGGGACATTGGTCTTATCTGATCCTTGGGAGAGAAGCAGTGCATGTTTGTACAATTATGAGTGTGCGCTTCCAAAAAATGCTATGGCTTCTGCATTGTCCATTTCATATTGATGTGGTTTGATACAGGGAGAGCTACTTAGTAATTATATTGATTTTACTGAGTATGAAGATATTTATGTGTGCTTACCAATTCCACCATTCGGTAGACTCCATCTGGCATTCAAAGAGCAGCATCTGATCTCTTCCTTTTGCAGTCAAAGTTTGGTTAGTGGAGGTTAAGTCATTTGCTGGGGATTATTTAGCTAATGAGTCTCAGAATCAAAATATGGCCCCCAGAGAAAATTAACTTCTATKCAGAGTCTACTTGATATATCCTCAATGTGTGAGGTATATGGAAAAAAAACATCATTATTCTACTCTATGGATTTCTGCTCATATTATTTGTCTATGGAGATAATATTTAATATTTTAAAAATACTGGTCAAATTTCTAGTTACTACTACTACTTATGCCCACCTCTAGGGATTGTTGCAAGGATTCCATCATATAATCTACCATAGCCAGCAGTCTGTACCTGGTGGCTATTGTGGTCATTATTGGTTCATCATCACAGGTTACCATTAAGATGGACCTGTGCTCTCCTTCACCTGTTGTCTCTGTGAGAGCAGAATGGCGTTACTCCAGGAGGACCTTGGCTTCTGCCTGGGGTACTTCTTTAACTGTCTTCCCATCAGGGGTGACCTTGTACAATGTTATTTTCACAAATAAAGATGGCAGCCTTCACTTCCAGTAGACTGCTCAAACATGTGTCTGTACACTAAATAACCAAAGTCCTCCACCTGTATGATTCGCTGTCCATTCATTCTCTAGTGTCCTCTCCTGCATGAAGTCGGATCATCAAAAACAGAGTCCTCAGTGTAAAAGGCCCCCGGTGGGCCACATAAAATCCTTTTCTCTGCACTTCTCATGGTGGGGGGGGGCATTATAATACTGTGCCCCAGGAAATTCACTCCTGTACTTACCAAAGGTTTATGGGGAAAGGCCCCCTTCCTTATGTTATATCTTCAATATGACACAGACCAGTCCCCTTCCTTATATTGTATCTTCAATATGACACAGGCCATGGATAATCTCTCAGGACTCAACTCATTTTAGTTTTTGGATGTTATAAATCCTGTGATTATTAGTGTCTCCATGTTGTTAATGGTGAGGCTARAAAAGTGAGAGCCAAATCTGTAGTCCCCCTGAAGCAAGTGTATTAGGTTTCACCGGCGGCATATTGTGCACTTAAATTTGCTTCTCAAAGCAACACAGAGAGCTGCAGTGGTGGTGTGGATCATTTGTCATGTGACTTGGGCTTTTTATGGCATTTTCTTATGTTTTATRTGATAGAGCATGTATTCTGTTTTTCACAACAACAAACATTTATTGGGATTCTTCTGCATGACAGACATAGGTATGAAAATACCCCACACCGTAGATCATGCAATTCCAATAAACGCCTTATAAGTGGGCACTCTTCCTTTCCCTATTTACATCTGGTGAAATAGAGGCCCAGAGAAGCTAATACTTGCCCAATATCCTATGAACAATGTGTGGCAGAGGTGACCTTCGAATTGAAGCAATCTGTCCAGAACTGTAAAAAAAGAGTTATTCTCAATGAAGTGTTATTTCAAATGAAGAAATTATCTATGAGGAAAAACTAAGTATAGTCACCTCACCATCCCTGAATCTAACCAAGCTCAGMTTGAAAATAATCAGAAAAAAAATATCGCATTTGTTCTGAACTTAAACTTTTTTCTTCTTATTATTTTCTAAAAAATACAGTATAACAACTATTTACACTGTATTTACATTGTATTAGGTATTATGGGCAATCTAAAGAATGACTAAATCAAGTATACAGAAGGATGTACAGAGGCTATATGCAAATACTATGCAAATTTACATGAGACTTGAGCATCTGTGGATTATGGTGTTTGATAGGGTTCCTGGAACCAATCTCCTGTGGATCCTGAGGGGTGACTGTTTACAGCACATATCTCTACCATCAGAAAACATGATTAAAAAAGAAAAAGACAAAAAGGGGTGGCTTGGAATGATATAAACTGTGGAATCCAGTGTGGGTCTGAATTATTTGGGAGGGGTACCATGTACTTACATTATTTTATTTTTTGAATAACTCAGCACCACATAAGGCATACAGCTGTCATTTTTTAAAACCATAAAGGGCAAGCTTTAGAAAGAAAACTTAGATGGTTAGATAATCGAATTTTTGATTCTTTTTAAGGCTTCCATGAAGTTATCAAATGTTTATAGAGACCGAAAATAGAATTTTTTTTTAACAGTCCCTGGGAACAAAGTATTTGCCTTGGCAGTGTTCCCATGAGTGCATCTTTACGACTTCCTTGTTTGATATCCTGTAATTCATTTCTAGCATGCCATCAGCAGGCAACTTGAGCTGCTACCTTGAGAAGAATTTGAGTTGAGAGGCCAAGAGAGAGCGTGACTGGCTATCGTGGTTTTTCTTGAGTCGTAATAATCACATTTATGAGAAGCTCACAGATAACTCTTTCTGTGAGTGGRTGGGTAGAATGCCTGCTTTTGAGGTTGTCCTCACTAATTTCTGTCAATACTTTATTCTCCCTTCAGAAGTTTCCTTTTGAAATTCTATCATTTGAAACAGCATGGGGCATTGTGTTAAAATGAAATAAGCAAGACACATAAAAGACAGATAACACAAAATCTCACTTATAGGTGGAATCTAACAATCGAAGCAGAGAGTAGAACAGTACCAGGGGCTGGGAACAGTGAGGTTAAATGGTACAAAGTTTCAGACAGGATGAATGAGATTTATTGTATATAGCAGGATGGCTATCATTAATAATTATGTATATTTCAAAATTGTTAAAGCACCAGATTTTATAAGTTCTGACTATAAAAATAACTGTGAAGTTATGAATATGTTAATCTGCTTGATTCAATCATTCCACATTGTAAATATATAAAAATATACAAAATCCTATAAATATATACAATTATTACTTGTAGATTAAAAATAAAATTTAAAAAGAATTTTTTTTTTTTTTTTTTAGAAAAGAACATTTTCAAGGTATAGCCCTGTWGGTTCTAGTATTCTCTATGTTTTACTACCTTTTCTTTTTTCTTCTTTTTTTTTAATCCCCCTCCAGGAATTGGGGATTGAATCCATGGGCACTTCACCACAGAGCTACTTCCCCAACCCCCTTTAAATTTTTTTTTTTTTTAGTTGTAGATGGATACATTTATTTGTTGGTTTATTTATTTATATGTGGTGCTGAGGATTGAACCCAGTTCCTGAAACGTGCTAGGCAAGTGCTATACCACTGAACTGCAACCACAGCACCTCCCGAACCCTTTTTAATTTTTATTTTGAGACAAAATTGCTAAATTTTGAGACAAATTGCTAAATTTTTAATTCTCACTTTGAGACAAGGGGTCACTAAGTTGCCCAGGCTAGCCTCAAATTTGAGACCTTCCTGCTTCAACTGAGATTACAGATGTGCACCATGGTACCTGGCTCTATGTTTTGCTATCTTTTAAATTTGCAAGAGTTTCTAAAAACGTTGTCTAAAAAAGATGCTACTTTTTTATCTCATCCTTTACCCAAAATTCACGTATGACCTAAGAATCCTTTCCCTTCTAAAAGACATCACTATAGAGACAGTTCCTGCTGAGWCTAGGGCCTTTGGGTCTGATAACATCAGTGTTAATATAGGGTTATGCAATTTGTGGATGAAGATTGTAATGGACATGTTGAATTGGCTGGGGCTAAGGAAGGAAATTCCCTGACAGTATTTATGAAAGGAAATAAAGGATGCCAATTCAAGATGTTGATTTACTTTGCATGAAAAGGAGAGTAAGAATGGAAAGTACCAGAATTCTCAGAKTATTCCTGAAACTGACTCATTAGCTGCAGATGCTTTGCCTTTTATTTCTTGTCAACCAAATGTGCCTAACATTCAGGGGAAGAAAGTAATTTATTTATATTGATTCCTTTTTATTAAAATTATTTTTAATTGTATTTAAAATATACATAAAATTTACCATCTTAACCTTTTTTTGGCATATATTTTGTTATTTCCCTGAATTCTTTATATACTTAAAAGTTAAKACTCATTTTAAAATGCATAAAATKTATTTTACTTTTTGTGTATAACATTCCTGAATCTGTATTCTCATGCTAAGTGTTCTAGGTACACAAAATCCATATTTAGTAAATGAATAATATATGACAGAGTATTAATGCAGTCTG